TTCTGACTTTCCATAGAGTTTCAAATCATCCATATATAGTAAATGCGAAATTTTTTCATCTTCTTTGGCTGTTTGGTAGTTCATTTCATTTTTTTCATTTTTTTTTTTAAGATTACTGATAGTGGGATCATTGTGATGATGAAGAGAAGAGGTGATTATTGTTGTTGTTGTTGTTGTTGTTGTTGTTGTTGTTTTCTAAATGTATCGGACTTGAACATTCTGACTCTACAAAAAAACACCCTACTTGGAACAGCTTATATCCTCTGACATTATCTTAACAGTTCTTAGGTCCTTGTTGAGCTACCAACCACCCCCAAGGCCTGCTACACTTTCTATTATTCCATTATGGATTTTCTATTGTGGGAAAATGGATGGGGGGATGATACGGAGTTGGATGATATGTAGCCATAACAAAGTTCTTTCTAGAAAGCCAAGGTCATCCTTTGTCTCTGCATCTGACCGGAACTGGATGGGTGGAAGCTGCCAGTGTGGCAGTGGAAGATGGGACTATGGGATGGACTTGAGGGTGTGGGGGCAAGATTTGGGGTTTCCCAGATGTGCCAACATGGCTCTATTAATAAATCAGAACTTTGAGGAATCCTGTGCCTCGGACTTTTGATTTCCTTTCGGATGCTATTTGGAACTCTGACATCTGACTCATTAAAACCCAGGAAAACAGCTGGTGGGAGGACTATCAAAAGAAAGACATGAGCGATGTCCTTTACACCTACCTGTTGACCATCATGCATTAAATAATTGCAGGAATATTACACTCAATCAGAAACATTATTTTCTTCTTGGAAAGGCATTACAAAAACAAATTTCCTTTCATCAAACTGAAGAGGTTGGAAGAAAAATGCAGAATTGCCCTGGATGTCCCTAAATCTCCTGACTTTGCATACCACACCATGAAGCAGGGGAAAGGAGTCCAACTGCTGAGCTGGCAAGACCAAAGTGGCTATGCATGCTTTTTTAGGGACTTAGCAAGCTTATAAAAATAAGTGATTAATTACAAGATCTTCTAAATCAGAGCCTTAGATCATCCACCAGGAGGGAAATAGGGGAGCAAAGTAATGAATTAAATGAACCGCTTGGGTGTAGTACATTTCAATCGCCTTTGATTGCCTGTGTATGATGTGTACCTCAATAATGAAAAGCCACCCATTTAGGCAGACCTTGGCATCATTTTGCTGTCCTCTAAGATTAGGATACTGGACTCCTTTGATGGCATTACTTCAATCAGTGCCAGTTGTTTAAGCTTCTCTGGTGTTCTTCTAGACTACTGGGCATAGTGCCAAGCATCAGGTTACTAAGTGGAAATGGAGGATATTAGAATGCCAAGTCTTACAGAGCCTGAACTTCACAACATTGCTGATGTTTTAGCAGTTAGTTAGACTTATATACTGCTTCATAGGGCTTTCAGCCCTCTCTAAGCGGTTTACAGAGTCAGCATATTGCCCGCACAGTCTGGGTCCTCATTTTACCCACCTCGGAAGGATGGAAGGCTGAGTCAACCTTGAGCCGGTGAGATTCGAACCGCCGAACTGCAGCTTAGCAGTCAGCTGAAGTGGCTGCAGTACTGCACTCTAACCACTGTGCCACCTCAGCTTGTTATGGAGAGTCCTGAACAGTTTGTGAGAGGATTTTTATGGTGAAAACAGGCAACTGTTTATGCCAATTTATTTTATTTATTTTATTTAGTTCTTTTGTTGAGTGTGTATAGGATAATAGATATAAGTATATAGAAAGATTATGAGTACATGAAATGGTTACGAATAAATGGGGTTGTTAGGACAGGGACAGTAGGCATGTTAGTGCGCTTATGCCTGCCCCTTACAGACCTCTTAGGAATGGGGTGAGGTCAACAGTAGACAGTCTAAGGTTAAAGTTTTGGGGGTCTGGGGAAGAAACCACGGAGTCAGGTAGAGCATTCCAGGCATTGACCACTCTGTTGCTGAAGTTGTATTTTCTGCAATCGAGTTTGGAGCAGTTTACCTTAAGTTTGTATCTATTGTGTGCTCATGTATTGTTGTGGTTGAAGCTGAAGTAGTTATTGACAGGTAGAACATTGTAGTAGATAATTTTAGGTCAGACCGAAGGCGGTATAGTTCAAATTCGTCTAAGCCCAAAATTTCAAGGCTGGTAGCATAAGGGATTCTGTTGCGAGCAGAAGAAGGGGGACTCTTCTCGTGAAATATCTCTGGACTCGCTCAATTGTATTAATGTCCAACATGCAGTGCGGGTTCCAGACAGATGAGCTGTATTCGAGAATTGGTCCAGTAAATGTTTGCTTAAGTTAGTAGTAGTGTTACCAGAGAAGAGGGCTACACAGGATTAGGTTAACAACTGTTACTGCATGTTTGGCAATGTTGTTACAGTGGGTTCTGGCATTTTATCTGACCTATTTGGCAGATTCTTTAGCTAGCAAGGATAAATTATTTATTTGGTATGATTTGGCAAGTAGTAGGAGAAGAAAGATGGAGACCTAGGATCAGAGAAAGATGCTAAGCTTCTCATTTAAATTCATTAGACTTTTAATATTTGAGGGTCTGTCACAAAAAGAGAGGGACAACCTATTTTCCAAAGCACTTAAAAGTAGGAGAAGAATCAATGGATAGAAACATAACAAGGAGAGTTCTACCCTAGAATTAATAAGAAATTTCCTGACAATGAGAACAATAAACCAAGAGAATAATTTGCCTCCAGAAATTTGAGTGCTTCATCTCTGGAACTTTTAAAGAAGAAATTGGAAATAATTTGTCCACAATGATATATGATCTCCTGCTTCAGCAGAAGGTTGGACTAGAAGACTTCCAAGGTCCCTTCAAACTCAGTTGTTCTGTTATTCATTTTTCAGATGTTGCAAAACGTCTTGTATTCTATCCTTCTTTGATTCCTGGCCATCTGATCAGGGACTGATTAGAACCAAGATTGTAAGAGATGATCAGGCTGAGCCCGAGGGAGGGGACAAATGCATCCTAAGTCCCTTTGCACCCACAAGAGAACTAAGTCCAGCCCACATTGAATGCCTCTCTTTCCCTCATTTCCTTAATGGTGAGTTGGCCAGATTCTTGTAGAAGCTTGCAATAAATCTCATTATACTTGTTTGAACTGCCTGAATCTCCTGATTTTCCAGGCACTTGACAGGGATCCAACTAAGATGGCAGACTAGAGATTCACCCTGCCTGCCAAAATCAGGAAAGCGAGGGCTAAGCTATGAACCTTCCCTTAATTAATGAAAGTGTTCCATTGTTCCTCACCGTGAAAGTCTTCAGGTTCTCGTGCTTATGATCATTCTCTGGATCCCCAGGTGGGCAAAGTTGCTTGTGGACCCACTTGCAAAGGTACCAGCATGATTTGGGGCTAGGGATAATATTAAAAGGAGGTGGTAGTGTGCCTCCTTCATCGAAGTAACTCATCCAGAGTTTTGTGCGTGCAAACTTCCATTCTATATCTGCATGATCCTGGATAGAAAGAGACAAGGGAAAAAAGAACAATAGATAAGTCATTTTTGGCTACCACAAGTTGCCCTGAAGAACATCTGTATTCTAAAAACAATTTTAGATCATAGAGGCCATATTAAAGGGAAAGTAGCAATAGTAATAGTGCTTGGACTTATATACAGCTAGTCCACAAATTACAACCATAATTGAGCCCAACATTTATGTTGCTAAGTGAGACATTTTTTAAAGTGACTCTTTTCCCATTTTACAACTTTTCTTGCCATATTTGTTAAGTGAATCACTGTAGTTGTTAAATCAGTAGTGAACCTGGTTTCCACATTGAAGTTGCTTGCCGAAAGGTCACATGACCCTGGGAATTTGCAACCATCATAAATATGAGTCAGTTTCCAAGCATCTGAATTTTGGTCATGCTTCCATGGGGATGCTACAATGGTCATGGGTATGAAAAAATGGTCATAAGTCAGTTTTTTAGTGCCATTGTAACTTTGAACTATCCCTAAGTAAAATGTTCTGCTTCATAGTGCTTTACAGCCGTCTCTAAGTGGTTTTGCCAGGTCTTTACCTTCCTGGGAATGCAAGGGGGGGGGGCATCTGTTTTGTCTCAGCTCCAGAGCCTCCAGAAAGTGATGGCTGAGAACAATTTCTTATCACCTTCTCAGACTGCAATTCTCAAAACATTTTCAAACCTGTAGATTGACTTATTCAATGCCAGACTGAGTGGAGGGGGTCTCTTAACTGTTGATCTAATGGAATTGTATGGGAATCCTCAGATCCTGCTTTCTTTGTCCTGCTATCACTTTCCTTTCAATAAAGGTTTTCTTTTGAAATGCTAAGTGCTTCAAGAGTTCTATTTTCTTGAGTGGAGAGGCAAGTCCTTACAGGTTTACAGAGTCATCATATTTTCCCCAACAATCTGGCTCCTTATTTTACTGCTGTCAGAAGGATGGAAGGCTGAGTCAATCTTGAGCTGGTCAGGATGGAACTTCTGGTAGTGACCAGAATTAGCCTCCAATAATGCAGTCTGACCAGAGGTGATATTCAGCCANAGTGTTTTTCAACCTTGGCAACTTGAAGATGTCTGGACTTCAACTCCCAGAATTCCCCAGCCAGCGAATGCTGGCTGGGGAATTCTGGGAATTGAAGTCCAGACATCTTCAAGTTGCCAAGGTTGAAAAACACTGCTCTAGGGCACACTGCTTATCTCTGTTTCTTGGACAAGGGAGACAGTATTGTCCAAAGATGCTTCCATGGTCATGTGGCCAACATGACTATAAGCTGAGGTGCAGAAATTAAAAATTGAAGGAATAAAGCAATAAAATAGAAATTTCTCCCATAAATCAAGAGGAGGAGACAGTTTGGGAATGCCAATGTCAACCAGAGCTGAAGAAGCTTCTTGGATGAGAAGCAAAATGCCTTCAAAGAAAAACCAGAAAGTCCAGTTGCCTCTTGAAAAAGCACCTTTGGGACAACCGTGACCTGGATGATTGACAATCTCCAATTGACAACCAGGAAAAAGTTTCCCATTGCAAATTTATGAGATTGTTCCAATAAGATAACAAACTCTATCAATTGCCCTTATATCTCTATCAATTGATTTACTTGATTCCACTCATCTCAGAACTGATTTTCTGCACAAAACATTGCATTTAATTATCGGAATTAAAACCCAATATAACGAAGCATGCTAAACTGCAGAAACCTATGCATGTTACAGATCCCTTCTGAATTTGGTTCACTAATTAATATTTTAGGGCTTCAAGATGAGCTGTCAGATGCCCACTAGAAGGCAGAAGAGGTGCAGAGAAACACAGTTGCCCAGTGTAATTTTTAAAAATATTAATCTTCATTTGTGTGCAAATTTCCACAGCATACATTCAAAGAAAATAATCCTTTTTTCTGTTCCTCTTTCCTCAGATTTTTATTTAGGAAAAGAGATTGAAATGTTAGGGGAATAGAATTCTTGATTTTGCTTCTAGGGAAATTAATGTTTCATTCATCTTTCTCTCTGTGTCTCTCTATTCCTCGCCATTTGCTATTTGGCAAATCATCAATTCTTCTTCTTTTGCTGTTTGATCAATGAACCTTTGAAATGGCATCAAACAACCCAAGAAGAGATCATGCAAGATAATTTATCCATCTACTTGGTCTGGCTGTAAAAATCCCATCCCCCCAATTGAAGCACCTCATATTTTGCCTTGCAGTTTTGATGGCACTAAGATGTGGAACTGTTGGCACAGTAAATTCTCTAATTTTGGTCAATTTCTCAACTGAAACTTAAAGAGGTTGGGAACAGCAATCATGAGTTGCATGAAAATACATGTCAGGTAATGAGGATTTGATAGCTGCCGGCTGATGTAAGGTTGTAAACTGTAAGCTGATGCAATGAGGATAATTCAGCTATGGTATAATCAGTTTGATGGGATCCACACAAGTCTTTTAAGAGGTGTCTATATATAGGTGGCCATTAGAGGGCATTTCTCTCTCTCTCATCATGTATCTTATTTCTCTCCTTGCGTCTGTAGCTGAGTGGTAAGGGATTTATCCACCATGTGTATGTCTGCATACATTTGTAAGCCACTATTAATGTCTAAAGGCTATGTGTGCTGTGTTTTGCTCCTGAGTTTATCTCATAATAATAGTCACACTGCGAAAACTCTGACAGTACAGAAGGAATTGCTCAGGTCGTCTGATTTTTTTTTTAGTCTGGAACTAAATAGATTCTCCTCTGGAAAAAGTCCTTGTAAATCTAGGAGAGGAGCAGGCATAGCTGTAGGGGCAGAGGTGAGTGCATAATCAAAGTCATTACATTCCCATAAGCTGCTCAAGTCTAACCCATCTTGAATTCTCTTGACCCTTCTCTCGAACCAATTTAGTGTTGAATTTTAGTTGACTAGAGTCTTGTGTGTAGGCATTTCTATTTTCTATTCTGCAACTGAATGGATAGTCCAGATTCTTTATCCCTGATAGTATGACACAATCTGACTTGGAATGTCATTTCTGTAAACCAGTGTTTCAACCACTTGGGAAATACAAGTTGTCTCTTAGCAGTCCTGTTTCACTCCAACCGAACCAGTTATGTACAAATTATGGCCAGTAATTTAGGATTAAATTAAGAAAACAACTAATAGTATAAATCTTTTTTAGCACCAAGACAGTGGGTGAAATTTTTTTTCTCTGCCAAGCAAATGAGGGGTATGATGCTTTTTATGATGTGCTGAGATATTAGCCACTACCAAATCAGAGAACTAAGACAAGAATCAAACTACTTTCTGAATAGCTCCCATTGTTCTTTTTTTTTAAAAAAAAGAAGTTCTGACATCACCCTAATGATTTTAATTAAAAAAATATTTCATTGCAGGAGAGAGTCAATGTTATTGCTGAATAAAACCAGTGTGCTTATTCAAAATTCTTTATCCCTATTGTAGAACCATGTTGCATGCTAAATTATCAAAACCAATTCAAGATATAATACGGAATCAGGAACATCTGCAGGGTAAATCTGCATAAAATGGACCTGGGGATTGGACATATAGTTGCAGACGCTATCTTAACCCTCTTGTAGATGTTGCTATGTGTTATGGAGACAAGTAGGAGTATGGTGACTTGAATGGTTGGAATGCTGGATAGGAGATTATGTAAGCCCATGTTGGAGACTGAAGAGCTGCCATGGGGCGGAGTTGAACTCCAGCTCCTGCTGGGGACATCAAAGGAGCCCCCAACTGGGCATCTCCAGAGCAATGGTGATGTCACCGGATAATCCTTTCAACCCAGAAATGCCTTGATGCTTCTGACATGAGTGCAATGGGATCAAGTCATTCAGAAGTAGTATTTTTAAATGAAATAAGCAAGCTAGAATTAATGATGAAAATCGATTTCACCAAAAAGGGAGATTATAAATATACCATATAAAAACTTAATAAATCTTTTTTTCGACTTGAGCCCATAGCATAGCCGTCTTCAACCCAGGGCCTTCAGTGTGAAGGATTACAACTTCCATCGCTCCCAAAAGCCAGTGGGGATTTCACTTTATCGGGGACACCAAATTAGAGAAGGTGCCATAGAAGATCTAAGGACATTTGACAAAGCAGCTTAAAGAATTGAATCGTTTACCTGGTAATGTTGATTCTGAATCAAATTGTCCACATGACGTTCCTGAAATGAAAAATGGAATTTATGTATAGATGATACACACAGCCATAAGACGTTCAGTTCTCTCGCTATAAGGTTGCTGCTGCTGCTTATTATTATTATTATTATTGTACAATTGTATCACAGCGGCCAGTTGTTTCGCTGGATTTGGCATTGGTTACTAGTCGGGCCCCACCCAGGGGCCTAGGTTATTATTATTATTATTATTATTATTATTATTATTATT